CATACATACATACATACATACATACATACATACATACATACATACATACATACATACATACATACATACATACATACATACATACATACATACATACATACATACATACATACATACATACATACATACATACATACATACATACATACATACATACATACATACATACATACATACATACATACATACATACACCTTGTTTAAAACTTAATTTTGAAAAATGCGAGTTGTATATGAACAAACCTATTACACTTAACATTAAATATCCAATTAAAATCCTTGAAAAAAACGAGATCGATTTTCTAGGCTCAATAATTTTTCCTGGTGAAAGCCAAAACATATCCATAGCTAAAAAATTTGAAAATTTTAAACTTATCACCCAAAGGCTAAATATCATCAATAAACATGATGCAATGGTCCTTCTATTACAAGCTGCTTTTTTGCCTCGTCTTGTTTATTTTTTGAGAACATCCCCTCTGTTGGATGTTTCGATCCTCAATAGTTTCGACGATCACCTCCGTGACGCATTCCAGTCCATCTTCAACATAAAACTCGATCAAAAAAATTGGTTACAGGGGACGCTGCCTATATGTGTTGGTGGCCTGGGTTTGGGTTCCGCGGCTGAGCTGGCACCTTCTGCCTTTTTGGCTTCTGCTGCTGCCACGGTGGCCCTCCAGGATCTGATGTTGCCTAGGGATGTGATTTACGTCGATAACTTCAGATTGCAAGTATACGACATGTGGCGCGGAGATGTGGTTGCGCTCGAAAACCCCTCGCAAAAACACTGGATCGCCCCCTGTCTTAATAGATCAGTTGATCGATGGCTGCAATTGAATGGCTCTGCTTTTGACAAGGCTAGAATTATGGCTGTCAAAAGTGAGTTGGGCTCCGCCTGGTTGAGAGCGCTACCCAACACTTCCTGCGGCACTAGATTGGATGACTCCTGTGTTCGCGTGAGCCTTGGTTTGAGACTTGGAGCCCAGATCGTCACCGAATACGAATGCGCATGTGGGGCAAGGGTTGATGAACTTGGATACCATAGCCTTTCTTGTCGTCTAGGTCCAGGAAGACAAGCCAGACATACGGCTGTCAACGAATACCTGGTACGATGTTTTCAAAAGAGCTGGTATCCCGGTTATAAAAGAACCCATGGGTTTGATAGAGGAAGGAGCCTTTAGGCCTGATGGTTACACTATCACCCCATGGGCCCAGGGACGGTCCCTGCTG